GTAAACCAAAATGGATGAGAATTTGCAGTGTACACGTTGTCGGCCAAGGTTGCAAGTGGGACAGGAATTGTCACATGGTTTGAATGTTTGTGACGCGCGATCTAATAATGAGTGACCCCTACAGACTAATAAATGTTTCGATTGTCGCAAAACTCTGGGGCATCATGGTTTACTCGTTACGTCGACGAGTTCGGGGTTCACTAACTTTGTTTCTGAGTGTGAAGTAAGGTTGCTCCACGTTTCGACTCAGTGATAACTTTTGGTAAACTGGACTCAAATGATTGAAGAAATTAAACTCTTTTGGGTTCTCTAAAGTTCACACAGAAAGAACTGATGAAGAGATATCAAAAACAGTAGTGTTTGTCATTGGAATCTCTTTGACAGCTCTCGATCGCTTTCGTCCATCTTGGGCTTGTCAGGTAAACGTAGTCCTCGAGTTTCCTACAACTTCGTGTTTTATTTGAACACAAAATGGACCATTAAACGAGAGATTTAGCTGAATTCAGTTGAATCTGCCGTTTAAACCACATTCATTTTCAGTTCAGATTATGTGTCAAAACTATATTCGTCATTCTTGTGATACGAATTTAATGTTTTCATGTTGCTCAGCCCAATGCCGCACGGAGTTTATCGAACAGAAATATCCGTACAGTTGGGTCCTCACCAAGAGATTCGAACATCAACGAAAAATCAGTCGTGGGGGCTTTACAGACAGTGAGAATGCAGAACGCCGCTTTGTAAGTCCAACTGAATGTGATTCATTTTACTAGCCTTAAATCGATCGTCGAACGATGCAACTTTGTTTGACAGATGACATTGATGGCGGAAGTTTGTGTAGGAGGGCTTTGGCTACTCACACCTAGTGTTACTCTGTTCAATCTCATTTTTTCTAAACTGGGCTCGAAACAACTTGAGTGGTTCAATTTACGTATCGAATGACATCTGGACCTTGATAAAGTCAGGAAACTTGACAGTGCATGCATATCAGCAGACCAATCAGAAGGGAATGAATGTGTCCTGCACGAGTGATCAAGTAAAAGAAATGGAATTGAAAGATGGGAGAAAGCGCAAAAAGGTTTATAGCAAGCTACATGAACCGGGAGAGATGTCCCAGTGGTTAGAGCGCGAATTTACTTACAGGAAGGTCCGTGGTTCGAACCCCATTTCTGTCTGTCGAGGTTTAGGCAGCCTGACGGTATCCCAGCCCTCGTGCTTCCTTCGGGTGGCATGGTAGCTAGGTACCGAAACGGTGTTGCAGCTTAACGATTATCTATTCAGTATTACACGAACCTGATGGTGTGCTTATATAAGAGACTGGCTTCTGAACTCCAGATTAGACACTTTTCCAGGAAGTGCACTGATGATTTCATCCAAATCAATTCAGTCCCGAGGCTCGGCGAAAAGAACAGCAACCAGCCAACTATGTCTTTCAGCAAAGTTGAGGACAAACAAATACGACGAAATGTCAGGCAATGGTGAGAGGGTCACAGTAGACGGACAGCTCGTCTGCCCATGGCATTTTAGTTCAAAGAATGAAGGCCGTTTTTTACGCAGGTTTATTCGGCGTCTGCAGATGTGTAATCAATAAATTTTGTCAGTTATACCAAATAACACGGTGTGACAAGAAAGATAAACCCTATTGGCACTGTTTTTCTATAGAAGGTGTGGGCTTTTTACACAAATCCCAACGTGCAATGAGGTTGGCCCAGAAAAAAGCCATATGAATTGCTTACCCAGCTGCGCCTTGAAAACGTCTTTTAGGGATAGACTAGATCAGATACTGGCTACCTGACCGCCATTTGACACCTCGGGAAACCAAAATTGACATAATGAGCCAACCGGCCCCCCAGGGCGTTGGTGTAACCAGTTACTGAGCGCTATTCAATGTAAGTGCTCGAGCGCGACATCCTAGGAGTGCACCCACACAGTGGAGTAGAACGAACACCTTGGGACCGCAAGTGATAAATGCGGCCTTGAGGTAAAACAGTTTTTATGGCACTGTTCGTAACCAAATGGTTAGTATTTAATAGTTAGGACATGAGCACTCTTTAGCCAACTATTCTTTCTCAATCCACTCTATTGTCCTTAACTTATCGGCTTAGTGGGCGGAATCCTCAACGAGACGAACGCTCCCTCTGCTGGTTGAACATACCATGACGTTCGTCATTCAACATGAGCTCGAGTATTCGCATTATTCCCGATAATTCGCCCCCCTCCAAAGGGACAGTGATCTTTTTCAAGCCGTAAAGAACCATTTTTAGTGAGTTCCTGTCATCCTTTGAGTTTCTGGTCTCGCCAGAGTTGCGAACAAGAAGACGACGTACTTTTACACATGCGTAAAAGTACCTCATTTGTATTCTTACCAACATACAAGTGGGAGCGTTTCGCACAAAGAATAGTTCCAGTAAAAATCCTAGAACCAAGTCATAATGGTCTCTGACTGTAAAATTATTAAGTTGGCTCGGATTATAAGGACAAATTTGATTCAGGTTCGTCTGTTAGTTTATCAGCTAGTTATCACAACATTTAGATACGTTTAACCATCAGATGCATCGTTGATACCTCAGTGATTGTATTCGATTTGTTGACTTTATTTCCAGTTTAAAGCAGTCCGTAAGCGTCAGTTTCCCAACAGATTTAGGCTTTCAAATCTAAACCAATCTGCAAGTTGACTTTTGCGCAATCATTTTTACGTCTGTTTCTTCAAAAAAAAAAAGTGTATCTTACTGGGTTGCGCGGGCTTGGCCATGTGCTACGTATGCCAGTCGACCGACTTCCTCGAAGGGCTCTTTTCGCACAACCACGTGACGGGTGGAAGAGAGCCAGAGGCGAGGAAACAATGATCTGGCAGCGAACTGTGAAAGCCATTACCAGCAAACACAGCTGCCCTGGTCGTTATCGTCTTCCTGGATGGGGAACCCGAGACGGGTCTTATCAAGGTTTAGAGACATTGTCAGACATGGCCCAGTCGCACGCTCAATGGCGCTCATGTATCCAAGCTATTGCCTTCAATGCAGAGCTCCTTTCCCAATCCCTTTACCTAGCAGTCCACCTACAGTGCTTTATTTACGCACTAATTTATCAGCTCCCGTCTTTAATGTGCAGCTACCTACCCCACCTCCCCGAATCATCGGTGAACGAAACTGTGGCAGCTACAATCACTGTACGACGAGTACGCGGTTACTACAGCTGACAATGATGATGATGACAGCAAGAATCGGACTGATAAACCAACGTTTTTCTCAGCTGATTAAACGAAACATCGTTTGCGCATGAATTTGGTTTTGACGGGAGACCCATTTGGACTAGGAGGCCAGTATAAACGAAAGAATTAGCCGGATTCAGTTGAGTCTCCTGTCAACCGAGAGTGTCTATGGAATTCTGACCAATTTGAGTGCAAATAGAACCAAAATTTGACAGAAACTCGGGGGCCACACCTAACTGACGGGTCTGAAGTGAAAGGGTGAAATCGAACGTGGGCTATCAAAGAGTCTTCAGCAACCTTCTGAGTAGCGTCTAAAATTTGCATGCCTTGCGTTCATTGGCAAATTTCAGAGAGGAAGTGGTCAAACGTCTTTCCGAACAGTCTCGTGAACAGGAGAAAAAGATTGGTACATTGAAATTCTGATAAAAGAGAGGACATACGGACGTGAGTTGCAAGATCTGACGGAACAGCTGACCTGTAAGCAACGGTAAGAATTACCCTGGTAGTACATAGTTCACTCATTTCAGTGTGTTTGTGTGGGCTGGGAAGTAGAAATGTTCGGTCAATCGGCGATTCATCTTATTCGGTAGAAATGTTTTGACATCACCAGATATATGGAGAAGAAGAGTGATGAAAATGGTGTTTGTCCGCCTGAGTTTTTAATCTCAAAAGGTCTGATTTAGTCAAGTCTGCTTGTACTGATGGGTTTACAAAACGGGAAATAATCTAGCTACTTATAAGTAGTCAGTTGATACGCGCTGACTGAACGATCGTCATACCGGGCTGGCGGTTGCAGACAGTGGGCGTCTGACTGAATTCTAATTTGACGACCAAGTATTTATGAAACTCCAGCTAATGAGTAATCTCTAGGTTTGACGACCAAGTATTTATGAAACTCCAGTAATCTCTAGACTCAGAAAAGTGATCCGACTACGCGTGAATAGTGAAGATGGTGGTTTCGCCAGCCCCTGATTATAAATAAAGCAATGTCCAAAAGAAACACTATCATTAAAGGATGTGTCCAGCGCCAGAAGCTGTGTTGGTTGGGATATTGTTGCGTATACCTAAGAATCGTTTGCCGAAGAGACCGCTGATTTCCATGCCTAACTCACAGTGCCGGATCAGAGAGGTGGCCAGCCCTTGACCTGGCGTAGGAGTATGAAGGAAATCACGAAGCGCTTGGGTGCTGTCGGTGCTACTCGCCTTCCAGGATGGGGACCGCTTGTTTCTCACTGCGCCTGATTGGAGGCGCTGCGAGTTATAGCTGCCAACCGATGTCAGAGGCGATCTTGTTGTCAGTTTCTATCCAGATTGCCTGAATGAGTGTCTGGAGGTGTAGGCACCTCAGAATGATTGNGGTAAGCTAGGACCAAGTCCCTTCCCCGTCCACCTTTATTCTTTTCTTTACAATGAGCCTTCCAACTAAATGACGGTTGTACGGCAGTGGAGCATCGGTGTTGAACACTGATATCATGCTGTCGATGATGGTGATGATGGTGACCCATTGTATCATTCTGAGATTACAGTTTCTGTGTGACAGAAGCCACGGCGCTTTATTACTCTGAGTCTGGTGTACCACTTCTCTTGCTAGTTAGTAACCATACTCCTGTAACTGGAAAAGTGGTTACGGGTAAATTCTGTTGACTTTCAATTGTTTTGATCTTTAATCGAATTTTTCACACAAATTTTAGATTTTAGCTTCAATTTAAATTTCTAATCTTCTAAATTTTTACTCAATGGCTTATTAGCTTTTTAGCAGCCGCCAACCGTGGAGTGTCTTTAGCCAAGCGGGGCAGATGCATTTTGCAACCGTGTTTTTGGCATTAAGCTGTGAGGACTTCAAATTTGGTCTTTTTTGGCGGTTTCTCAGTCACTTCATGAAACAATAATGCTCTGGGATTAGCCAAGATTGCTTTTACGTTAAATGTCCTTGTTGAGTTTGGAACCATTATAGATTAAACAATTCAGTCAGTGGGTTGCTTTGGCTCCTATTTGAATTCATTTAATCGATTGGCGTCACTTTACTGGGGTCACTTGTTATTATCTGAACGGCAGATGGTTTATTCGAAGGAACTGCTAAAAGGCACAGAGTGATGTTATTAATAAAGACTTTTCGAATGCAAAATAAAACATCTATGAGAGAAAGAATAAAAACTTTTCAACTTGGTGCTTGTCAGGGTTCCCTCTCGTGCCATACATTCTAGTGTGCAAGTAAACAGTAAGTGGTTTCCCGCAACATTACGTTTACCGCCAGGAACATTAGAAAACATAGGATATCGTTTGACCTCATAGTTCATGTCCTTCCACAAATGAATGACATTTTTCTCGGTATACTTTGCTCCGGGTTTCTTGTAGTATTTTGGGATTCCCCTATTTGAGTTAGAAGTGCAGGTGGGGTGATGCGCGTGCAGCCGAGCGCGAGGAATCGCTACGGCTTTGTCGTCTGTTGCAATGCTAGAAGATAATGTCATGGGGTTTGATGTGAATCTTGTTCCATTGCTTGTTTTGAGTAATGGAAAAGATAGTGCAAATATCAGATGCCTAATGCAAACGATCAACATACTACTCTAGATGGATTTCAGTAGCTTTGATTGCCGAAGTGCTAATATATTTGTAGGTCGAGTATTTTATTTCGTTGTTTCTTAGGTGAAGGTTCACTAGTGCTAAAAAACTTCGGGTGTATGCAACAAAAATCTGACCAAGAATGAGACCCATGTGTCTGTCGGCTTCAGCGATTGGGTGACTTCATTCAACCTCTTATAAATCTGAAGATATTTGATTGAATACTCCGGTAGAGTTATAAGCAGTAGGGGGATGATTTTTGCGGTGATACCAGTTACGTAATTGCCAGGCTTGGCAGCAGTTTCTTCGTTTTGCTACTGTAATAATAGTGACTGACTTTCTTCGCTTCCGTATGTTCTCACCCGAAACACCACTCTCAGTGACACGATCCAGGAAAATTTGGACCTGATTCGTGTACAGCGTGAACTACACGAAAAGAAACAGAAAATCCTAGCCATGGAGTCTCAGCTACGAGGATCCGAGAAAGAACTCGAGGTAACCAAAGCGGCAAATCGCCAACTGTTGTTGGAAGTTGAACGACACGCCCGAGAGGTTGTCGAACTGGAACGGAAGAATTACGAGTTAAAGTCGGAGACTGGTGCCATTTCAAACCAACAGTTGAAAATCCAACAGGTAACACATGGTGTTATGAACTGACGACTGGTAAACTTGATGTACAAGATTGATCTATTGGTTTCTAACGTTTGTTCGTGAATGGTACCACCGCCAACTTCAGCCAATCAGAAACTTGCACACTGATTAGCAATCATGTGTTCCAAGAACATAAATTCAAAACTACGTACCTAATTTTCAAACAGTCATCAGGATATCTATTCAACAAAAACATTATCAGTCAATTAGAACTCAGGAAGGACAATCAAACTGACTTGTTTTCGATGTATCGCATTTGACGGGCTTCTGTTGTCTTGTGGAAACATATCGACCGTGGAGAATGAGGAGTGCCACAACAGAAAGAGAGCAGTCAAATCCTTGGATAATTCCAAGAATGCCTGAAAGAACGGGGTGACCTAGTGTGTTTCGGGAAACAGCTTGCCAGACATGAATACAGAGGGTAAGGTTGATGGATTTTGATGCCCAATTCAGAGTGGCGTAAACAGAGAAGTGGTCAACCCTTGACTTGGCAAAGGAGTATGAAGGAATTCACGAAACGCTTGGGTGCTGTCGGTGTTACTCGCCTTTCAGAATGAGGATCACGTGACCCCCACTGCGCCTGGTTGAAGACACTACAACATATGGCTGCCACACGATGTCAGTGGCGTTCTTGTTGTCAATTTCTATCCAGATTGTGTGAGTGAATGTCTGGAGGTATAGGCACCTCGGAATGATTGTGGTAAGCTAGAACCAAGTCCTTTCCCTGTCCACCTTTACTCTTTTCTTTACAATAAGGTTGTACGGCAGTGAAGCATCAGTGTTGAACACCGATGTCATGCTGTCGATGATGATGATGATGGTGATGAGCTCTATCATAAAAAAACGTAGACCACTATTGCAAAGTTGACTCACCTAGAACGATATAAGTGTAAGATAATGGCGTGGACCGGACTCGTTACTCTTAGGGAGGCTGGTGGTGGTACAATAGAAGTATAAAGAAAAGCCGAAGGCCCTTGAAAGATTGCTCAACTGGTCGCAGCGTAGTTCGCTGACGCCGCTTTGGGAATCTTAGATAAGGAAGCCCACTTGATGGCATGAGAGATGAACGTGTTAGGTGGAATTAACTTCATACCCAACGACTCGAAGCGAATTATTTTTGGACGAGAGAGAAAGCGTCAGTGATGGCGCGAAAAACAGACAACTCCTGAATGACCCTGTAGATTAGAAATTTCAGAACAACTCGATTTTCCGAGCAGGCTTTCCGAAAGACAGGCAGTATTGGAGCAGGCTCCCAAGCAATTTTTGATCGCAAACCTACACAACGTCAAGAAATGCATTTTCGCTTCGTCGTCAGATGGAGCCCGGGTAGACGATCGAGCGCAGGCAACTCAGAGGTGGTCAAGGGGTGGGACTTCGTGCTTAACACTAGTCCGCACAATACAGTCTGTGGAATTTCGGACAAAATAGTTGCAATGTTAATAGGATGGTGACTGTCCAAAATGGTGTTAGAAATAATGGATGAACATAAATATTTCCAGGCTGATGGGATCGTGGATCGGGATTATGAGAATAGCTAGGTCGCGGTTGCATTGAGTTCCACTCGCCAGTTATAAATCGGACAGAGAATCCTGTGAAAACGACGAGTAAGATAAGATGACTACAGAGTAGAAGTCGATGTAGGACAATAAAAGGTAAGATGTATTAAACAAAGTCCTCGATTTACCACCATTAGAGTTTCATTTCGTTGGTTGATGGTTGCGTGGCAGTTGATCTGTTTCCCCGAGCATGGCGACAGGTTTCGACACCTTTCGAAAAGACGTCATTAGTGCGAGGTCTTGATGTGTGATTTGTTCACGTCTGCTTACGTTCATATTGTTTCTAAAAGGCAGTTAGTATGCGCAGCGCAAATGGTTGTTTGCGAATTGTCCGGTACTTGATTTGATTGTTTACGTCGGAATTTGTGTTGCTTTACTGTCTACTTATCTCGCATCCACTAGGTTCATTGGCAGCTCCATGCTTAGTAATTCCATTCTCTTATTCCCCATTGATTCCTCATTCAGAATGATTTACTTGAAGGAAACTACGCACAAGGTTGATGAGAACTCTTCGACAGCCCACGACCGGTTTCGCCCTTCTTGGGGCTCATCAGGTAGACGCAATCCCCTTATGTTCTACTTGAACCGAAATTGGACTGTTTTCGAGAAATACATTCATTTGCATGTTAATTTGCTTTCACCAGAGACTCAACTGAAT